CAGGAAGAACTTGGAACTTGAGTGAAATTGCATACCCTGTTTATGACAAGAACCCCCCCGGAAATTTATTTAACTTGGAAATATTTAGTTGACATCACCTAAAATTAAGTACCAGTAAGTATATGCCAAACTGATTGTCATGCTATGCCAGAGAATTACTTTTACCAGAGAATGTGTGAAGAAACAGTGCATTACATCTTTTTTTTACTCCTCTGATTTAAGGCTAAGACTGAGCAAAGGTGAACTTGAAATGAAAGTGTAGCCAAAAATGCAATTTTGAAAAGAAAAACTAATACACAAATATAAACGTAAATGGCAAAATAATGCAATTTTGAGGATTCTGCCTGTTACAAACGATTGATAGTTGATTTGTAACATATTTCAACACTGGCTATATCTAGACTAGAGTGCAAACAATTAATCCGTGAAACACTAATTACAAAATAGTACAAAATAGTGCTAATTAAGCAATAGAAAACAATGGAATTTGCATGAAATTGTGCTATTTAGTATTACTCAAGTTTCACGGTTATATTGTTTGCACTCTAACATGTAATCTCTCTTACCATTAATACCATAGGGAGACTCCATTTCTATTAGCCAGGATTTTGACGCAATACACTTTTCACCCCAGATATAACCCTTTCCTTTAAAATCATCATAAATTATGCCTATGATTTTTTTGCATTGATCTGATCCAAAGCAAGAAGTCATCTCTGTCCCGCATACCAAAATGTTCAAGCTATAAATCTGCTTTTAAGAACCAAGAATAGTTCTGCTTTAGAAATTATATTTTCCTCCAAAATTTTTCAAATAATGCCTAATAATTTTTGTTGTCCAATCCCGGTCTCTACATGAAGTAATCTCAAATATCACATACCAAAATGTCAAGATTTTTGTTGTGTTTTTGAAAAACCAAATTGAGAATTATTAATTATCATTGTCTCTCTAAAATATATTTTAAAAGTAAATTTATGTATTGCTTGGTTGCAAGCATTCCCAAAAGACAAAAACATGGTGACCATCTTGGTGGTATTAACATGAGAAGTCTTTTGTTAAAAAAATGGCACCAACATGGCTGCAATGCAACTGAAGAATTTGTCTTTGTTACTGTGCAACTACACCAACCATGGCCACCCAGACAAATTTTCATACAGATTAGCCAATCTCGATTGAGCATTTAAACAATAGAATCTGTACAAATTCAAACATTTTTAGCTTTAAAATCATATTTTATTTTATACGTGTGTGTGTGTGTAATTTGCGACAGAGGGGAGGGAGAGGCCAGAAAAAATTGAAATAGTCACGGTACGGCTTCATCCTACTCAGGAGAGAAAGCGTTGCGTGACGACACTGAAAGCGGCTGTGGGGGAGACTAGCTTCATCCAAGTCAGTTGTTTGTTTTAAATATCTTTAATTACATTTAATCACCCGGAACCCATTTTTCAGTTAACCAAAACAAATTTTAAAATTTCCTTTCTATAAATGATTTAAATTCGACCTACCTTTTCACGAAGTTGGTTTTTACCATCCACTATGTAAACGATTAAAGGTACAACTCCTTCCTTTATGAATTCTTCGACAACACGGTCCAGCGCTTCGTTCTCGTTGCGACCAGGAGAATCAATGAGTTGTACTCCACACTCGAGAAGCTTATGATCAATACCAACCTCCACTAGATGTTGTAGCGCTTCGCTGTCCTCTCGAGAGCTTCCCTGTAATACTATAAACTTGTTGGGTACTTTTGCATTCTTGCCAAAGGATATCTTTTCCACTTCGTTCATATCGGCGTCCACCAGCTTCACGTAGTTTTCAGAACTGTAAACAACTCGTACGATTCTAGAAGTGCACGGCGTTTCCTCTGTTGGAAGTAGCTTGTGCTTTCGCAGGAATACATTTATCAACGTACTCTTACCACAATTGTGGCTACCAATGAAGAGTACGCTGGGTAAACGTTTGGTAAAATCAAACTGGGGTATCTGCAAGGCTGGAAGCAGTCCTGGATTTTGATCGTTTTCTTCATTGATCAAGTTTTGAATATTTTCAAAACATTGTGCTGTCTCTTTATGAAGCGCTGAAATTTGTTCGATGTGATCTTTGTACTCACTGATAGTCTTTTGAAGGGTTTCGAGGGAAGATTCTAAATCCTCGGAGTTTGCTTCTGCCATGATATATTTAGACCATGTCAATGATCTGAATCTACTGTATAAACAAGAGTGTGCTCAGTTTCAGAGTTTAAACGCGCAAGCTTATCTCTTATTTTAGCGAGGTCTGCAATAATGAAATCGAAAGTGAATCGCTATGAGAATAATAGAAGGAACGCTCTCACAAGGGACTTTCCCGAGAAAATCACGAGACACGATTTGCATTCTTGCCTTCCGCCTCTTCCAAGAAGTCTGTCTGGGGTAACATCCAAACTTTGGAACAAAGGTTAAGAACACCGGATTGTTGGATCAGTGGAGCGTGGATCGATCGATCGTAGCCGGCTTAAGCTTTATGCTTCGAAAGGGAAAGAGAAATAACAGGGGGAAAATTTACAAGATGGAACAAGCATACTTTCCTGTCTTCTGAAAAACCCAACACGCTAAAATCAAAGTCTATGTGTGAGTTAGCCGTGCACTGACTTTGATCAGCACAGACGTTGTTTCAGGGGAGTTGACCACACCCTGACTTAGATCTGAATTCGATCTTTGAGTTAGGCATACCATGACTTAGATCAGCCAAGAGGTCGTTTCAGGGTTTGATAAAATTAGTGAACAAATCTTGCCCTTTGGAAGAATTGTCTTTTTTATTCAACGTCTCTCTCTCAACACGACTTGGCAAACTTCGGCGATACTGCAGTTCTTTGTTCATTGCTTTGAAAGATTTTGCAACACTTTCACCGGCACTGCAAGATCACCTAAATAAATCTGTGGCTAATACCAATAACTAATGATAAAAAAACCACTTTAATATTTATATCGTGCATATTTCATATGCATATGCTCACATGCGAGCAAACGAAATGAATAACAGCAGCAATAATTCTTCTATGACATAAACTAGCTAAACTTACTCAGTAAAATTTGCTTTATATTAGCAACAAATCTGTAAATAATATAAAAAATAGAACTGAAGAAATAGAATTGAATTCTCTTTTTAATTTGAAAAACCGGAATTCTTCATGAGAAATAGACTACTAGTACATCAGGGAAGCTTAGCCAATCAGAACGCACGGTTTACAATAGTCCACAAGTCAGTTGTTTAAGCAATGAGAAATAGACTACTAGTAAATCAGGGAAGCCCAACCAATCAGAACGCACGGTTCACAATAGTCCACAAGTTTGTTTAAGCTATAATGTATTATGTCATTGTGATTCGGAGTTTGGATAAATATACGACAATACTAATAATATTAACAACCTGTCCGTTAGAACTAAAAATTATGACTAATGAACCATTTAGACGCTAGACTTTATTTAAGCCTTATGAAACAGTGCTATGCAAGCACTCTCATGGTTGAGAAACGAATGTTCAAAGACAAGTGTCCTCTTAAGTTGCTGGGGTTTTTTTCGTACGAGTGGGAAAAGATATAGCAAAACCGTGGTCGTGCTGCAGCCGTACCATATCCAACTTTTTTTTCTTTTTTTTTTTTTTTTTACAGTTTAGCATATTATTTACAGTTTAGGAGGGTTACCGTCTAGATGTTTACATACAATGGTGTATTATTTACAATTTAGGAGGGGGAGAGTTGGCTTTTATTAACCTGCCCTTGGTAAGGAAAAATAGCAGCCTCGCACCACAACATCAGAGTCCAAATCCTAGTTCCCGCTCTAAATAAATACAGCAAGATCCAGGTCTGCCCAATTGATCAATTCCATATTCTATTTCTTCCCGTGCTCGTTGCATGAAATAAGTCGTAACGTGGGATGGAACTCTTTCCAAGAGAAAACATGGCGAATGTTGGTTGATATGACCAAAGAAACCAAATCCATTTTTTCAACTTGGTGGCCATGACGTTACGTACATCCCAAGAATAGCAATCCCAGGGCATCAAATCCCAGTGAGAGAGCAAATATACCGTCAATTCCTATTTCTCATTTTACGACTTTAGAACCTTTATACCTATATTATATATACTGGTTCTTACCAACATCTAGTTATTGGTTTAAGACATTTTCAATTACTTGTTTCATTTCAACAAGTGAAATTCCTTCCGTGAAGCTGTTTCCCAGAAAGTCTGCCAACGTGTAGTTTTCAAAGCTCTTTTCAACTTCTTCAGGGATGAGTTCCAAATTAGGGAACGTTCCTCGTTTGACTGCTTGATAGACTTCCTTCACGTCTGTGGTATCAGCATATGTCGGTCTCTTGTATTCCCCCAGCGCCAACAGCCATCCAAGAATTCCAAGTGCGTAGACGTCATGCTTCATAGCCACCTCTAGGACTCGAGTGGACGTGTATACTAATGGGGGTGGAGCGGCGCATACGTGAAATGGTGCGCGATCATCGTGGTAGAAGACACTGTCATCACGAGGCTTGGAGATATTCAGTTTGGCCTTATTGTGCTGATCAAGCTGTATTGATAATTGTTATAACATATCTTTTAGTGAGATGGACTAGGATATATGTAGTGCCCCTGTTTATGCGCAAATGATCGATTGCGATAAATTTCTGGATTTCAATATTGATAGATGTCTTTGCATTTCATTTTTGCTTAAAATGGTTATCAAACACCATGCACTTTGTGCTGTAATCAGTGACATAAAGTGAAACCCAACAAAAACCAAATCAGCTTGAATCCTTTAATATTGTAAACTTTAGATTGCTTTATGCGATTTGCAGCTGTGAGAGGTGGATGATATATGAATTTGGTACTTATGGTGGTCACTGCCACGGTTTCTTTAAAAGAGGAAATTATATTCTAAAGAATGACACGTGGTCTGAAATACGATCTAGAGCGCCCTAGAGCGCCGCGACGCAGGCTAAACCAAAGACGTTCCCTTACACGTTACCTTACCAGAACATTGGTAGGCCTTGGATCAATCAACTGAAGTCCTTGTTCTCGACAAAACATGCACGCCTCGATCAAGTCTTTTAAGATAGCCCATCGAATCTTCAGGTTTTCATTGGTGAGAGTCTTGAATCTATCTTGGTTAAGCGCAGTGTAAAGATCTGTGTCCTCCTTTGGCAACAACAGTGTCATTTGTGAGTCAATGAGAACTAATGACAGTGGACGTAGGACACATGGTGGGGATTCATCGATCCTGAAATTCACAAAAAAGGAAGATAATCTATTTATTAGGCATAATCTAGCTTCGTTCACTCGCCTCTCACCTCTAGGGTTTCAGATTCGATCCCTGTTCACTTGTTTGCAGAGTTTACTCCATCTCCCTTGATTCGAGGGATTTTTCTGGCTCCAGTTTTTCTCTCTTCGCAAAACCTAATGCGCTATATTTCAGTTTAGTCCAGTTTCGAGTTCTCTGTTGCTCAGGGTTAGCCTCGATTTTGTGCAAAATATTCATATGTTCTTGTGAAGGTCCGTAGAATTTCAAAGTGTTCGTATTGTTGAAGAGGTGCATCTTTTACTTTGCCGTTGGTATTTGTGAATAACTTGACACTGACTCGAGGCTAACCCTGAGTAAATTAGTCTATAATCAAGGAACACAGCGGTAATTTGGAACTCGAATTGCGAAAGAAGTTCTATTCAAACTGTGAGTTAGCCCTGCTCTGTGTTTGATCAGCCAAAAGGGTTCAGGGTTTCAGGGTAACAGAAAACAGTATGTTCCTCACCTTATCAGGGAATGCTGGATCGACAAGTACATTAATTCGGAGATATCAGGACGTAGCTGCTTTGCAACAATTCGTCTTTGGCTGAATTCACCGGAATTAGTCTTGCAGTCAAAGACCATTCCTCTCTTGCTATTTGTGCTGATTTGCTGACGTAATAGGAACGTTTCGTCTGGGCGTCTTAATGACTCAAAAAGGGCATTGGTGGAGCACATGACTTTAGCGAAAGGAGACCCAAAATCATTGACAGCACGTTGATGTTCCTTAGATTGACTGTCCGCAATAGTACAAAGTCTCTCTATGCATTCTAAGTTAACTTCAAATGTCCTATGTCCCTGGTGCAAGTTATCCAAGATCGTTCCTATCATTCTGTTTGTCAACTTTTGGCGGTCAACATTGTCTAGAACATTTTTCGCAATCTTTCGTTTCCAGTGTTTGTTCACGGTGGTTCCCGAAACGATCGACAAAATATCTGAAAAAAAGCTTTTAGGAGGTTCAAAGGTCCGGTACGCAAGTGTCATCAGTGAATAGTCTTTGACTTGAGCAGTGGTAAGCATGTAATGTTCTGTGCTGGAACTCGATAAAATATCAATGTGATGCAGTTGCTGATGTACTAGCTTCCCTGCAATTCCATCCTGCTTGGACATTTCCAGAAGAAATCGACGAAGCTGCTCGACAATGTTACGTGTGACCGTCTTGACTGTTTTTGTGCCAACTTTTAAGGATATATGGAGGACTGCTGTTAAGACCATCTTTTGTATTTGGGTTTTGTATTGATTGATAATTTCATTTCGGTGTACCACATCAGCGATAACAATTGGGGCAAACTCCATGTTCTCAGCATCGAATAGGATACGATTTTCATTTTCTTCAATTGCTTTGTCGACAATTCTTTCTAACTTTTCGCCATTTTCCTTCACGTACATTCTCAATTTTTCAAAATATATTTTCTCTTCCGTTTTAAGTCTGAGAGTAACATGATGAACATTGTCAAACTCACGGGATTTTAAGTTGCGATTCAGGTAAAATCTAAAGATACGTTGCTGGATTGCCATCAAAGTCTGCGCAACACTCTTCAAGTGGGAATTGATGCTTGCAGATGCAAATTTCAAAAAACTTGTTTTCATTTTTTCGAAAGAGGAGAGATGGATATTTTCTGTGTTTAGTACTTGGCTCCTCCTGGCCTTTCGCACTTCTCGCGTTGATATAGCATGGAAGAAGTCACAGTTATCTACGTCTGTTTCCACATCTATGAGTTGCGCACGGACGAGAGCAGAAAAGGCACGCATCTTCTTGCTCTGCAGTACCTCCTTCTGGCTTTCAGCTGACATGTAACTCTCGTCTTCGTCGTCGTCTCGGTCAAACTTCGCTGCCTGTTCATCAACATCAACTTTGTTGCAGACGAAGAAAATCGGGATGTTACCAATGTTCTGTTTTAGATCGTAAAGGAATTCACGGTCCTGCGAGAAATAAGCATCGTGTTAAAGTTAACAACTCAACAGGGCCGTAGTCACCAGTAAGGTTGGTCTGGTTTTAACAACCGCTCCACTTTTTACCTTCAGAACCATTTTTTCCCTTTCGTAAAAAAAATATTACACAAGTAAATAAAAAAATAGGACCACCTTTTTTAAACCTGACCACTGACCACCACTGTCCAAGTAGTGGCTACGGCCTTGCTCTTTCTTATTGATCAGTGAAGAATTGCTTCAGGTCAAGTTCAAAAAATTAAGAAACTTTTATTTCGTTCAAAGCTATAGCAGCTAGCTTTGCCTTCTCAGCATTTTGGCATTTCCAATCTGTCTTTAGTTAGTAAAATCTAGTCAAGAGTTGGTTTAAAGTGTGATCCAGGCTATATTGACCTAACATTTATGTTAGCAGGTAAAATCTGGCCCAGTTACTAGACAAATACTGGATTCAGGAAGAGGGAGTATAATAATAATAATAATAATAATAACAACAACAACAACAACAACAACAATAATAATAATAATAATAATAATAATAATAAGGTAAGGAAGTCTTTTTTTTATTTACAAAATTCTGCCTCTATCTGTCCCTGCCAGTATCTTTCTTGGCTTTTGCGAAACTAGCCCCATAAAAATGAACTTCCCCTTACTTACTTGGTTCCTGAGCGATGAATTTCCATCGATAACGTAAATAACTACCTGAAGTATACCATGGACACATTCCTGCACTATGGAGTCTAATACTTGGTTTTCACTCATTCCTGGGGCATCGACAAACTCCAGGTGTCCCCCCTGCAGAAGTGGGTTCTTCAGCCCAACCTCAACGACACACTGTGTCCATGTTTTATCCCGTCTTCTCTGATCATCCTCTAATGCGATTTCTTCCTTTGGGATGCCTTTCTTTTTAAAGTTTTTCAGCTCTACCTTGATGTTGCCTGACGGCTCACGCACACGTAGGGTATTTTCATGGCTGTATCGTATTCGAACGATACGAGAAGTGCAGGGAACTTCAGCAGTTGGCAGATACGAGCCACCCAAGAGCTCGTTGATCAAAGAGCTTTTTCCCGAGTTTGTTTGCCCGATAACTAAGACTGATGCTCGTTTAGTTACGAAATCTTTAAGCTTGGCTTTCTCTTCTTCAGTTATAAACGTCTGGCCTGGAATTGCGTTTAGGTCATTTCTAAAAATCTTTTCCAGTTCGTTGATTATTGTTTCTGATTCGGCATAACATTTCCTGAAATACTCGATGTCATGACTAAATTTTCGGAAGGTATCTTCAAAAGGGTTTATTTTTTCAACGTGAACAGATTTGTCTTCCATGATAAGGCCTGCAAAGAGAAAGCAAAACTGAATATTAGTTGGTTAAAAATCGGAATGTTTCGGGTTAGATTTGGTTTTACCAGCAAACTCAAAAAATGAATAGATAAATAAAATAAAAATAACTCAGCCACCGAAAAGGGAATAAGAGCAGTTAAGGGGCTTTCAAAAAGACTCCCTTGTTTGATAAATTCTGGATGAGTACTGCTGGTATCGACCTACAATGCATGCAGATCATGATCAATACAATCTCGTGTTGATCAATACCTTTTTGTTACCGTCTCGTAAAAATAATGGCAGCCGAAATCGCTTATCGATTTTTAAATGACTGTTAAAACATGAAAACTAGGACTATTGTAGAATAGTAGTTTAAGAGATATACAAAGTCCTAAAGGTAGAATTCTGTTAATAAATCAGCAGACATTATGTTTTAAGTCAATAACTTTGCAACAGAGGTTGAACACAATGTCACAAACGCCGAGCGAGCTCGTTTGGACGTATGGTATCAAAAGTAATCATGTTTATGAGATAACTTACCGTTGTTGCAGGAATCTAAGATTTAAGTGCCTTGAAAGAGAAAATAAAGGCTGCATCAGTCTGCATCTTCTAGAAAAGCGGGAGTTCGGTTCTTGGAAAGTCAGAATTAATTTGATATGAATCACGAGACAGACTTAGTGGAAAACTGGGAATGGAACTATTCATTTGAGTAATGACGGCGTGACAATGAAAACCTTTATGGAAAGTAGAAAATTCTGAAGATTTTCTTGGTTTTTCTTGATTAATCTGCTTCCACTTTGTTCTTTGCAACGATTCTTTTCAAATGCCTGCGAAAATGACTTTTTTTAAATGGCGACTAGAGGGTGACCCTCGGAGTTCGATCTGAACGTGACATACACGTGCGTCACGCTAGATGGAGAGTAATCGCTTTTCTTAGAATTCGGGAATTTCCCGTACTGTATTTGTATCAACCAGGAAATGTAAATGTCGACTGCAGAAGATTGCTTGTAGAACATTATTATGTATAGTTCTCTTTTGGATTTCAAACCCGACCAAACGAGGATTAAAGCAGATACCTTAACCTTTTAAAACAAACTGAGCGGAGATCAAGGGGACGAAACCCTGGACCAAGATGGCTCTGCAAACCGTTTTCGAGAACTTTAAACGAAATAAGGACGCCCTCCTAGCCATACACCAAGATACAGTGGAATGCTTTGAGAAAATACAAGAAAGCCTCTTGAGTAAACGGCATGGCCGAGAGCTGGCAACCCAGCTTGTCCAGGAGATGACTATGGCAAGTAGTCCTCCAGCCGAATCTATTGGAGTTGCTTTGGATGATCTGAGCATGGTTGTGCTCAGCATGGGGGGGAAAGAATGCTCAATCTCAAGCCTTGCAGAGACTCTGTACACCACAGAAGAAAGAAAGGAAGTCTGTAAGCTGTTCGAAAAGGAAAGCCGCCCATCACTCATAGTCATAGGCCAAACGAACAGTGGAAAGAGCTCCATCATTAATGAAATATTAGGATGCAAAATCGTGTCTACATCCGATCAACCATGTACGTCACGAATCGTGAAGATGACATATTCAAAGGACAACTACATTGAGTTGGTAACTCAGGATGGTCAGAAAGTGCTAGAGAAGATAAAGTCGCAGAAGGCCTCCAAAATCCCAAGAGAACTAATTGAGCTCAAGCAAGAAGACCGAGAGAATCCAGAACGTGTGACAGCCATTGTTAAAGCTGGTTTTGATATTCCTTTCCTGGAGTCTGGAGTTGATATTATTGATTCACCCGGGAGGAATGAAAACCTTGTGCTTGATGAATTGGTCAGGAAGCAGTTGAACAACATCTTGCCTTTCATTGTGTATGTTATTGATGGACATAATCTATTTACAGCACAAGTAAGTGTACAATTTATTTCACAAATGATTTTTTAACTTTACATGCTAAAGTTTAGGGCTTCGCCGTTTATTTCTGGATTTTATCCCATTCTTCATATCTATACACACTCTATGGTGATTTTTATAATCCCCCACGCACTAACAACAACACAATTGTAGTTTAGGGACTAGTTTCGTCCGTTTATTAGGACCTTTTCAACCTAACTGAATCTAACGGAATGATTACGTTGCGATATAGTGTTTATACTCGTGATGAACAAGAGCGCGCGCAGTAAACTTGCGCGAGCTGTAAAAGTATAAGAAGAGAGAAAATTTACATTATAACTGTTCTAGGGATCTTCATAAAGTTCCATTCTGTTTTGTTATTTATTATTTTATCTTGTTCTTCTCT